GAAATAAGCAGCAAAAGAAGAAAAAGTTAAAATATATACAAAAGTTGCCAATCTCAAAAGTAATGTTATAATTATAGTTGTTGCTTTAAAGCAAACAAGTTTTAGATTAAATGGTCAAATGTAAACATTAATTATATGTATCTTTTTTATTTATTTATTTTTTTTAAGAGACATTTTTGCTAAAGGGCATGTGCACTTGCCAGATACAGACAGAAACTGAGAAATCATGCTTCAGGGGGAATGGCTACACCACATTCCCTTCTCCTCCATTCTCCTCTCAGGATCTCGGACAAGTACACACATGTGCCCAGTGTGTTTTAAGCTGCCCAGTATGGGACTTGAATAGTGGTTGACTATGTCAGAGTCCAGCGACATAACCATTACACTATCTGCTGGTCCTGGTCAACATTAAAATTTTAAAAGAGCTAGGTTATGTGATTAATTATATAATCTATAGTGAAAAAGGCTAAATTAAACAAATAAAGTATAAAACTACAAAATAAGCTTTTGCTAGATAGAAAATTAAAACTTAGGTGCACACATATAAAACATAATATAAATTAGAAGACAGGTGACAATTTTAGAAAATACACTGAAAACATACTTGGAGTGCTGCTATTTTAAATATGTAAATATTTAATAAACAATGCATAATGGAAATAAGCAGCAAAAGAAGAAAAAGTTAAAATATATACAAAAGTTGCCAATCTCACTAGTATTTAGAAATTCAAAATGGAAGAAAGTAAAATACTTTTTGAGTATCACAGTAGCTAACATTAAAAATAAATTCACTGTGAAGCTGGTGAGTGGCACAGTGGTAGAATAGGACACTTGGCAACGCTGGCCTGGATGAGCAGGTTCAGGTTTACGTCCTGAGACCTCCCTGAATATGCTGGCCTGCGTGTGCCAGTGACCTGGGGCTGGCTGAAACTAGGGGTGGGTCATGGCATCAGGACCCTATTGGCAGTGCTGTCTATATCTTGTTCTCCATCTCTCTTGTTCATGGAAGGAATAAATAAATTTAAAAAATAATCACTAATAAGTGTTTAAGAAAATAAACTCCTCTATATTTCTGAATGAAATGCAAATTTGTACTTTCTTCCTAAAGAATAATTTGGAAATATGCATTGAAGTCCTAAAATTTCACTACTCGTCATTTCTCTTGAGAAAACAAGAAGAGGTCTACATAAACATTTCTGTATAGTAGTTATAACATGATTTGCATGAAATTTTGGAAACAATCCAATGGTTCAATAATAGGTTAAAAACATTACATTTATATTATGAAATACTATAACCATTAAAATGATGTAAAAGAAAAGTAACAGACATTATTGGATTTTTATGTAAAAACATTATGTAGGAGAATCAATATTATGTGATTATTTTTAAATATTACACTTAAAAATGACTAGGATTTTACAAAATCTAAATTTTAATAGTGGTTACATTTAGGTGGTAGGTGACGGATAATTTTTATATTACGTTTTAATGCTTTTAGCATTAGGACAAAAGCAAAAAGAATACAACTGTAGAATATTAGGGAGGAGGGAAGAAGAGGAGGAAAGAGACTTATTGGTCCAGTAGTTTACCTTCACAAGTCTCTTATTGGATATGCACTCTAAATCAAGTGATTATTAGTATAATTGTGACAAAACCCAATCCTTTACTAGTGATCTTCCCATTGTTCCATGTCGAAGTCCTCATCTTCCAAGAGTTATCTGTATGTATATTTTGTATATTTGCTAGAAAGAATCCTAACTTCTCTAACTATTCCTTATTATAAATCAATCTTTTGAATTCCTTAAGCAAGCAATTCTCAGTGTCGCCCTTAGCCCCATCTTACCACTTCTTACTATGTGACTTGACCGAAAATTTTTGTCTAATCCTAGATGGTATGTATGTGTGCATAAACAGAGAGACAGACAGAAGAAAAGAAAGATCACCCTAATGGAGCTTATTCATGCTGCCATCCTTTTTTTTTTCAGTTCTCCACCTCATCAGGATCCTGGGCACTCCTGTGCACCCATCATGTTTTTAAGCCGGTAAGGTTGGGACTCAAACCTTGGTCGTCCCGGTAGAACCATCTTCCTCTGAGCAGTGCCTACCAGCTGCACTATGAGGCTCGCCCACTAGATCAAATTATTTAATTTTTCCTTGTTTCTCAATTTTCTAGTTTGTAACATAAGGTTAAGGATCGTGCCTATGTTAGGTACTGGGAGTATTAGATATAACATGTATTAGATACAGTGCTTAAGACTGAATAGGCTTATCAGAGCTATTAGTTTCTACATTTTCATGCATGCTTCCAGCAGATAAACATTTTCTTTTGCTCTAGAAAATCATATTAGAATGAGTGAGGGGCCAGTAGGTGGTGTGGTGGTTAAGGTGTTTGAGTACCACACGGCTGACCATGGTTTGAGTCCTGGGTCCAGCAGCTTGAAACTCATGCCAGACCTTGTGCATGCATGCCCAAAATCCCAAGAAAAGAATGGAGGAGAGGGGATTGTGGTGTAGCCATCCCTGCTGGGACATGATTTCTTGCTTTCTGTCTTTCTGTCTCTCTGGCAAGTGCACATGCCTTCTTACTCTAAAACACAGGCCATCCCTCACTCTATATAAAAGCCATATAGAAAGCAAGAAGTGAGAAGTCATTTGTCATAACAAATGTAATTCCTTGTTTTCCAATGAGATACTCACACTTAAAAAGATACTCCCCCTCCCTCCAAATAAATCACACCTACCAGCATTATGCTTTCTTACAGGGCACACTTTCTTCCTAGAAATGACAAGTGCAGGGTATGGACCCTCTGGGAAGAAGGGCAGGACACTGAGGAAGTCTACCCAGCCGTCCATTAATGTGTTGACACTGATCTGGTCTAAGACGTTGCTAAGATGGTATCTATGTCTTGAGGTTCTGGTAACATGAAACATTGAGGCTGCGTCACTCTGGATAACCTCTGAAGTGAGACAACTTAGAAGAGGAATGTTAACTTCTACTGTTTCTAAGATTCCTTTATCTCTCTGATGCTTTAAAAAGTCTTATTTACTTTCTGGCTACATTAATTTTGCTTATTTAATTCTTTTGAGTTTGATTTTTTTTTTTTGTACTAGTGACCTATCAGTTTTAATTCAATCACAGTAGGTTTTTGTGTTTGTTTTTGTTTTGTTTTGTTTTACTAATAGGTTATCAATACCTTCCCTGAAGTATGAAAGCACTAAGAAAGGTAGGAATGCTTTTATAATCACTGCTTTTTAAATTTCAAATATAAATAACTATCTTTCTTTTGAAACAAATTTTTATTGTTAGGAAAACGTGCTTAGAGATGAAGATCTTATATTTAATTCAAATTAATTAAAAGAGAGACAGAGCTGGGAGAATTAACCCCAAATCATAGAATAATTATAGCTGAACATGGGGTGTAAAAGGCCTGTGAAGGGCTGTAGGACCTAGCCTTCTCTTGCCCAGCACTGTTCACTTGATTCCTTTCACACCACACAAATAATTTAATGGGAACAGCTCAAGAGACTATTTGAGGCTATTATACTGTTAGAAGTCCCAAGTGCTCATTTTCCTAGGAATTACGGCATCAAAGTACTGGTAGTTTGTGGTCAGCCACTTCCATTTTTCCTTCGAGACCTTTACATTGCTTAAATTTTGCAGCGTCTAAACTTGAGGGTTATTTTTTAGCACAAGACACTAATTTTTTTTCTCTCATTGGTAGAGAGAATGATTAAGGATTTCAATCTTCACTAAAGATGAATTTCAGCGAAGTCTCCTTGAGAGCACCTAAGAGCATGCTTTTCAGCTAATGCTTAAAACAGAACATGGAGATGTGAGAGGAGGTTGTCACCAAATAGAGAAGAATAAACTTCTGTAAACCACCTTTCAGGGATGGCAACTTCAGAGAATATGCTGTCCAATAATAACCCTTTTTTTTTCCCCCCACTATAACTGCTTTAAAACAATTCCATTTTAGGAGGAGGCAGGAGAAAGGCAGCTGTGGCTACAGAAAGGTGACCTGATGGTTTCCACGATGAAGAGACTGTTTCTCATCTTGACTGTGGTGATGGATACAAGAACCTACTCCTGTGACAACATTGCACAGAGTTAAATGCACACACACGAGTGGAGATCAAACTGGAGACGCCTGAATAAGACAGTAGATCACGTCTGTGGCACTACCTTGGTTGTGATATTGCACAAGGGGAAAAAAGTTCACGGAGACTGGAATTAAAGCCCACGTTCATTTCAGTGCTAGAAAATTTGAAATCCATGTATGTTTTTCATCATATGCATTCTCTGTGAACTTTTGGAAGACCGCCCCCTCACTTTCTAGTTTTGCCACATGCAAAAGGCAAATTGGATAAAGCATACACGAGACCCTCTGTATGATTTCTTTAACTGCATATGAATGTATATCTCTATCAAAATAAAAAGTTTAAGCAAAAAATTAAGGCAAGTAATACACACACACAATTCTATATTAATGTAATTTTTGGTATTGCCCAGAAAATAACTCCTGGGGCCTAGATAAATGTACAAAAATAAAACTAGAGAAAGTTTTTCCAAATGTAAGGTATCATTCTGATATTACTGTTGTATATTGATAATTTAGTTGTATTATAAGACTAATATGAGATCTCTTAGAGTTAACTGAAAATTCAAATAATTTTTAAATCACTTTGAGAACACAGAATTCATCTTAATATTTTCCAATATATTAAAAATACACAAAAATTTCCAAGAGACACACGCTAGACAAGGCTCTAAGGCTTTAAAAGTGTAAAAAATATAAATGAAAGTATAAAATATAGAATTAAAATAGGTTATTTTATAATTTAAATACATTTTTCACCATAGACAGTATTTTTAAAACTTCCATTATAATTTTAAAACAATATCACTGATAGACTTAAATAGTCAATAAACATTTAAATAATATTTGTATATTTAAATATTAAAATAGACATATTTATATATTTGGCTTAATTTTTACCTTGATGGTAGGAATAGGCTTTTTGGGGATAAAATAGTTTTTCTCAAGTGGTGAAAAAGGTGCTTTTTGTGCTTTCAGTCTAATCTTGTTCTCGGCTATGATTTTCTTGCGCTGCTCAAGATAAGGTCCAAAACTTGGCAGTTTCTAAAAGGAAAACATACAAGTAAGAAAGCATGTGAGCTCATAGGAGAGAAAAATGAGAGGACATAAGCACGTAAATATTATCAACAAACAAATGTGGTTTGGATGTTTTCGTGTATCCTGGAATAGGGTCTTCAATCATTCCTGGACCACTAGGTATTGGACTCCATTCATTAGTAAAAAGAATATAAGAACACGATAACTTTGCCAAATGCGTTCATATCTTTTAGACATACGATGTTAATTAAAATATTTCTGTGGCAGCCTAAAAGTTATAAGAGCTAGGTTTTAAACGTCTGACGTACTGAAAACCTCAACAGGATGAAGAAATGAAAACTTCATTTTCCTGAAGCATTATGCAACCAGGCAAGTGGGGGCTGGTGATTTCCCAGTGTGCGTGTGCGTGTGTGTGCGTTTGCGTGTGTGTGCGTGTGCGTGCATGTGCGTGTGTGTGCGTGTGTGTGGGGGGGGTGGGGTATGGGGGGTTCAGTCTTCCTTTCCTTATCTCTCTCTCTCTCTGGCAAGCATACATGCCCTTTGGCAATTAAACAAATGAACAAACAAAAAGCCCCACTTCTAAATGGAATAAAATTCAGTTGTAAGCCAAATCCAGTCACTTAAAACAATTGCTATTAGTTAAGCCATTTGTATGGTCTGTACAGACAGAAGGTGAAACCTTTTGATGCTTTTTCCTCCTTCATCAGATTTTTAGCAGATACAGTCCCAGTCATAGTCCCTGGCAAATGCTCTTGTCAATACCAAAGGTACTTTGCCAAAGTTATAATCTGTATCTGTATTTTATTTTGTTTAAATTCCTACTACATCTCTTTAAGGATTATAACTAGTGTTGATTGCAATTTGCGGGAATTGCTGAAAAACAAAATGGTAAAAATATTGATTTCTCTGTAAGGACAACACGTTTTATTTTGCATGAAGGAAGCAAAAATAAAAATGAAAAGCAGAGGAAATATCACAGCTCTTCAACAGATCCCATCAGTATTCAAAATCACATCATGAAGCTTTAAATCTCAAGGTTATTCAATTGTACTTTACAAAGTTCATTTAGAAAGATACCTGGGCGTCATGGAAAAATGCTAAGTGGTTTCAAGTTAACACGAATATGCCCTCATACCATTCATTATCCCACAATTATTTCCTCTTCACTTTGTCCTTCCCCTCTTCTAGAACCTTTGATCTTCTCTTTTACTGACACACACTGCCTGTACTAGACACCACTGAATTCCAAATGTTTTGTGTCAGCCTGTAACCTGGAATTGCCAGATTTCTTTTATCGGACTGCAAAAACACCCTTTCTCCCCCGCAGAATAAAGCCCATTTATTTAGCTGATGCAGGTCTGGAAAACTACAGCACTCTGAGGTTATCCTGATCTCTGACCTAGTAAGTACTTTGGTGAAGAATCATACTTGTTTCAAAATACTGGCCTGCACTTGCCAGGGTGCATAATGCTCCAAGAAAAAATGAGTTCTCTGGTCCTCGAGCGATCTGGGTAGAGTAGGTAAACTAAACTTAATCCTTGTTCCAATCAAGCCAAACTGCAACTGTAAATTTATATTAGCAAGGAACATATTTAGTTGGAAATACCTAATATTGTTACTTTCATTATCAAATCACTGTAATTATGTCAACAAGTCAAGTGAATGGAAATAATGCTATGAATGCCAAATTAATTTATACATAATTAGACTAGTACTATGTATTTCATCTCTACACCTTAATGTTTTCCTAAATGATAATGCTGAGTGGCTGCAGTAACATTAGATGATATGATAGAGGGAGAGAATTTTTCATATCTATTTTATTACAAGCAAGTGATGCTGACTTGTTAAAAGCATAACATAAATAAAAAAGTATAAAACAAATTCTCAATATGTACCATATATGTAATCCTCCTTAATATAGAAAATACAAAGTTTGAAATTTCTTCTTAAAAATGACTTTCCTAGGGCAGATGAGGTGTTAGGGATTACACTTGGTGCCAAAGACATGCCCCTGGGGTCTAGATAACACCTCATAAGGTGGTGAACAAATGTCCACATGATATAAATCTTGTCAGAATGTCACTATATCCTCTCTTCTCAATCCTAATCTCATATATTTGAAGATTATACACTTCTCTTATGTATTAAGGGCACCTCAATCCTAATCTCATATATTTGAAGATTATCAAGAACGGTTAAGTGTCGAAACAGATGGCCTCTGGTTCCAGCAGACCCTTCATGTAGCAAGCTCTATGAAAAGCTGAAGTAGTATCCCGGTTTCCTGACTGGGTCTTACCTTAAACACTACCTAAGACCACCTGAGTCCTGTAAAGGCTGTTGATCAAAATAAGTCATTTTTGAAAATTTTGATCTATCTTGTTGTTTTAAACATAGATAATATTCCCCCTTCCCCTGCATTTGTTCATTATCCAAATGGAAATAGAGAAGGTAGTCAAACTTAAACCATGATGGTTTTAGACTGTTCCAACACCAGTACTGCTACTACGACCAGCACTAAATATTTGGAAATCCCTTTATGTTGAATGGAATACCACCTGTGTAAGCAAAGAACAGCCTGATGTTTTTGGAAAGTTTATTCAATGGTTGGTCACATTTGCCATGTATAAATTATGTTACATAGTCTTTCCATGTCTAACAGTGCTGTGATTCTAATGTGCTAATCTTTTATAATTAGTCCTAAAAAGTTCTTAGTTTAATGTAAAGAGTCCTGCAGGAATTTGTGCATTAGTTAGAAGAATCTATGGGTTAAGTTGAAAACTGTTGCCAAATTTTTCTTTAACTTGAAAGCACATATACACACAATATCGGTGATTGCTCCTTCAACTTTCCAAATCTTCCACCGCTCATCTCCAAATCAAATGAGTTCTATTTGTATTAATTTCTCACTGCCATGTGGCGATCCCAGAGGCCAAGCTATAGTGCCAGCTTCCAAATCTTCAAGGTTGCCATAGGCATTTTGCTTTCCTCATTAGTATGAAAAGTTAAGGGCTTAAAAAAAATTAGGTTGTATGCATTAAAATGGCTCCAGGATATTTGGGTATTGGCATTGAGTCCTGAACATTTTAAAACGTGAAGTCTGTGGAAAATATAAAAGATCATTTCTCTCCTGCACCAGAGGATCACCCTTATACATGGTAAATTTAGGCATACGTTTGTATTCTAATCTTTTCCCAAGGAAAAAGAGAGAGAGAGAGAGAACAAAGCTCAGAAAGAGTGAAGATGAATACATAGTTGGCCACTGTGTATGTGAGCAATCAGTGATGATTAATAAAGCATTTAGCTCAAATCTCTGCCTGAACATATAGTTAATTGATTTCCTATTGCAGGAGGAGAAGCAGCAGGGCCTGACAGAGCCAGCAGCAGGAGCTTTTCCTCTTCATTCATTATTTTCTTACAGAAAAAGTTGTAGCCTGAGGTAACTCAAAGCAAGAGGGTTTGAGCGTCATGCTATATTTCTTAAACAAAGGGAAAAGTTCTTTAGGACTATCAAAAGCTGCTTCGTAACTGATGAACTGAACAAAGCTCAGAAATGGTGTGATTTTTGTTTCAATAGTTTCTCTAGGGATTCATCATTGATGAATTTGTTCTCACCAGAAAAGCTAAATCCTACTCATTTAAAGATAACAGTATCTCACACTAAAACTGTCTCTATCCAGATATAAAAAGCATTACATTGCCGATAGAAAAGTGACAACATAATGAATCAACAATGATACCTTAAGCCAGCAAAGCTTTAAGGTAAAGAAGTCTATTTGGATTATAATTTATTCATGGATCAATCTAAAGGTAATTGAGCATATTATGAAGTAGAAAAGGGTTCTTGTTTCTAATAGAAGCAGGCACTTGTATCTTCCAGTTTAAATTGCATAATTTTTATGAGAATGGCAGCAAGTTGGCTAATAGCACTAGTATAGAGTACTGTAATGGATCAACTCTATTTTCTTAATCATACTCTCTCATCTGATTGGAAACAATAACAGCAAGAAAAGTAATTACTTTGATATCTAAATGGTACTATGTGAAAAGATAAAAGGGTTTCAGGTTTATACTGAATGATATATTTATCGCTCCTTATAAACCTGGAATCTATCTACCTATCTCATCTGTCTCTTTCCTTTATGTGTGTGTGTGAGTGTGTACACTGACAGATTGAAAGATAAGCTAGGTGAAATATATAGATAGTTAAAAACTATAGAAGAGTTGTATTATGTTCCAAAAGCATGTCCACATGTGACATAGTTACACTACTTATCAGTCTTTTGACATTTATCCAACAAATGAATTACCTGTGTCTATTCTGGGTCAGGAACTGTCCAATGCTATAGTAAAGGCTCAGCACTTTCCATATGGTACAGTTACCATTGTTATTAATTTTGTAAGTATCTCTTGCTTTCACTAAGGGATAGTGTCAGAGTAAATTATATACCAAGTGTTATATAACTGGTTATTAGAGTTAGTGCAAGATGTGACATACCAAACTCCTTGGAAAACTGAACTCAATTCAATGACCAACAACTAGAGAGAAAAGAGGGTTCTCTGATGCTGTTGTATTATTTGTAAAGTGGCTACTGTGAAGTTTAAGTGAAGCGATCCATGTACATTTCCTAACACGCTCTAATTTTAATTGCCGTGAACACTGTATAATTCAAGGTAGCACAGGAGACAGAGATGAGCAGCCATTTTTCTATCCTAGACAGTCTGAATTCAGTTACTTTTCTTCTTCTTTCCCTCCAGTTATGAAAGAAATTGCTTACTTACATTTGACTCTAATTTTTATCTCAAAATCAGTCTCAGCATGGGTAAGATCCAGTAACTCAGATTTTACCCACGTGAAATTGGCATGCCATGCTTAATCGCTGATGGAACAGTAAGCAATTTTTCATGATATTATCATATTTGGACAGTGGCAAACCATAAGCAAAAAAGAGAGAGAAGGATGACCTAACACTATATGCCATCTCAGTGTTTGTGGTGTCTAGTGG